AAAGGAAGAGCTCGAAATTTTAACTACTTTTGCTGTTCTATATAATTGAATGATTACCAGACTTCCCCAACTTACACCTTTCTCGGTGGTATTTAATATGGATATTGAAAAGGTGGTTAGAATCTTTGTATCTTTAAATGTCTAAAATTTGCTGGCTTCAACTTTTTTCTACCTATATTGTTGACTTTTATTTTCTATATTTAAAGAGGTTGGTGGTCTAGTTTGTACTGTTTCTTCCTTGATTGGACTCTTGTTTTATTTTCTGTCACATTTCTAATTTTCTACTTATATATGTTTTGCCTTCTCTACACTCTAGTCGTGACTCCTATCTACGCCCTCTCCTCGAAAAGGAAGGGTGAAAGAGAGAAAAATAGGGGAAACAACAGCGTGTGAAATTTGTAACGTGTTGATTAATTTGAATCTTGTGAATTTATCTTTAGAACTAATTCATAATATTGTGATGTAGATGTGTGGTGAATGATTTCTCTATAAACTTCACTTTGTGATTAATTTCCGGAAATAATTCTGAGTTGCAGATTTTCGAGTAGAAAATTTATTTCTTGTTCAATTTTGATTCTTTGAGAATCACTTCTATCTCAAGTTCATTTTCAGCCACACATTCTTCCCCAAAAAAATCATTTTCATGTTTGTCCGTAAGTTTTCCCTACTTTTAAACTACCCAAAAAAAAAAAAAAATGAGGAAAAAAAAAAGTTCTTTTTAAGAATCACTTCTCAAAAAATATTTATCACATAAGCGCTTAGATTTTGAATCGTGGCAAGTTGCATTTTTGGTTTTAATCTGTGCACAAGTAAGGGTCTTGTGAAATAAGTCTCTCACTAATTGCTATTTGCATTATTATTTCGTTCTTGTTGGACAAAATTGTGCAGAACTCAACTTTTCTAGAGTAGTTAAGCACAGCTGACTTTAGCACCTGGATTTACATAAATGAACAAATATTGATCACCCTTAGTTTTTATAGCTGTTTATTTCATTGTTTTAATTTTTAAAACTGTCATATTATCATCATATTTGAGTCGAATGCAGTCTCAGAGTCTACATTCTGCTGAATACAGGGAGGTCGGAAAAGTTAAAAAGCCTTTCACGCCTCCACGAGAGGTACATGTTCAAGTAACCCATTCCTTAGCACCAGAAAAGCGCGAGATTTTTAATTCTCTGAACAATTGGGCCCAAGAGAATATCTTGGTGCTCCTAAAGGATGTCGATAAATGCTGGCAACCAAGTGACTTTCTACCCGACTCAGCTTCTGAAGGCTTTGACGAGCAGGTCATGGAGCTACGTAAAAGATGCAAGGAAATTCCTGATGATTATTTCATTGTCTTGGTTGGAGATATGATTACAGAGGAAGCACTTCCCACTTACCAGACGATGCTTAACACCCTAGATGGAGTTCGAGACGAGACGGGTGCTAGCCTTACTCCTTGGGCTATTTGGACTAGAGCATGGACTGCTGAAGAGAATAGGCATGGTGACCTTCTGAACAAATATCTTTATCTTTCTGGACGGGTTGACATGAAGCAAATTGAAAAGACAATTCAATACCTAATCGGTTCCGGGATGGTAAGTTTTCTGTTATCTCAGTCATCTGTTAAATTATTGAACCCCTGAATGCCTGGATGCAGTGTGAACCCTTTCTCTTATTGCTTGAATTTCTTGGTGATTTATCATATTTCATACTATTATGAATCTGAAGAATTAGAGCTTATTAGATCAATGTTCACTTTTATTGTTGGAGACATCAGCAGTTCCTGAAACTATTGATCTTCTCTTTCCTTCTCGATTATGTGTGTGTGCACCTGTACATGCTTTTAGTGCATGTTTAGCAAGCAGTATTACAATTTCATGATATGAATTTGCCATTTTGTTAATAAAGCAAATACGACTTCTCTTGGTATGTACTAAAAGATTCACTTAAAAGTCTATTTTCACCTTATAATTTCACGTTGTCAGCCAAATCATCTTACTTTCCGAACACAACCATTCCATTCTGTAATATAATTTAACATGCGGGTATTAATATAATTTAACATGCGGGTATTAACTGATAGGATCCTCGTACGGAAAACAATCCCTACCTGGGATTTATCTACACTTCATTCCAGGAGAGGGCAACCTTCATTTCTCATGGAAACACGGCTAGGCTTGCCAAGGAACACGGGGACCTGAAATTGGCTCAGATATGCGGTATCATTGCTGCAGATGAGAAGCGCCATGAAACTGCGTATACCAAAATTGTTGAAAAGCTATTCGAGATTGACCCTGATGGCACTGTGTTGGCACTTGCCGACATGATGAGGAAGAAAGTCTCTATGCCAGCTCATCTGATGTACGATGGCCAGGACGATAATCTCTTTGAGAACTTCTCTTCTGTAGCACAGCGGCTAGGGGTCTATACTGCCAAGGACTATGCCGATATTTTGGAATTTTTGGTCGGAAGGTGGGATATTGAGAAGTTGACAGGTCTTTCTGGAGAGGGGCGTAAAGCACAAGATTACGTGTGCACTTTGCCTCCTAGAATCCGAAGGTTGGAGGAGCGAGCACAATCAAGGGTCAAGAAAGCATCGGCCACCCCCTTCAGCTGGATTTTCGGTCGAGAAATCAATCTATGAACGCTGCACTGAACGTAGGGACTCTTCTAGCAGCCTTTGATAAGCAAATATATAAGGTCGGTCTGTCGCCATCTGGTCTGTATCAAGAAATGTGTTAAAAATAAACATAAAATTGTTCCAGTGGTATATTTCTCGTTCCTTTATTTGTTTAGTTTTGATCAGATATGACAGACGAATAATTCGAGTCGAGTGAGGAGACGATTTCTTGCTGCAATCTTTGTTTTCTTTATCAACTCGCTTACGAGTATTATAAAAGTAGAATCTTGTGCTTGTTTACCATAAAC